CCCCAAAACCCCAAAACCCCAAAACCCCATCAGCCAATATCCTTGTTTTTAATTAAAAAAATTATCAAAAATTAATTTCAATTGACTTTATCATTATTTTAAGCTCTTCTTTCTAGATTTAGAGCTTAAATTTTAATTGCTATGAATAGCTTTTTTATCATTTTAAATATTTTAATCTTCACCAAGAGCCCATTCTTCAGCTGCTTTTTTCACTTGATTTTTATCACTCATAAAATCTTTAATAGTCTTTGTGTTTGATTTACTTTCCTCTTTTACTACCTTCCCCTTTTTGGGAGTTACACTTATAGATTTTTTCTCTTCCTTAATACTTTGATCTTTACTATCTGCAAATACTTATTTCATCCTCTGCATATTAATAGCACCTTCTTTTTTATAATCAATAATTGGTAAAGGATAGTCTTCCCCAATAATGCACTTGCATCTTTTTTAAACCATGATAGGCGCCTTATGAGGCTCATAAATAAATTCTGCTGGGTAGTGTTTAAGCTATGGGACATATTTTCGAATAAAATCTCCATTTTTATCAGTCTTTTGGAAGAATGAGATGGGAGAATACACCTTCCAATACTAGGAGAAGAATGACGAGCAGGACAGCCACATCCAATTAGCGTTATTAAGGGCATAGTCAGCATCAAGCAAGTATTTGTCAAACACATCTCTGCCCGCCTCCCAATGCTAATAAAGATGACCTCTTGTTAGGAAGCATGCCACAAGATGTCTACCTAAATGATGCATCCAACCTTCTTGCCTGAGCTGATTCATAACTGCATCTATTGCTGGAAATCCTGTTTAGCCCATCTCCCATTTTCTGATGATTTCCTCATTTCTTTCCCAATTCATTTACTTGCAGATTGGATTACCAACCATCTTATCGAAATTCTTTACTGTATAGCTTTTACTGTAAAAGAACTCTCTCCAGAATAGTTATCCAACTAATGACACTGGGGGCTGTGTAGCATTTCTATCCATTACTTTTTTTAAGTTGTGGTAGAATAATCTTGGTGATAAGCATCCAAATTTTAAATAAGGACTTAGTGTTGTTGTACTTGGCTTTAGACTATTGGGAGAGGTGAAAGGCTTTGAGAAATTATTGACTTTTTTCTTGTCTTTCAAGTAATCATTCATGATATTCAACGCTTCAGTCTCTCCTCCTTTAAGACTGGCTGTTGCTTCATTCTCATTCCTATCTATTTCACTAAGAGAAGGAACTTAATTTGAGTATTCTATTTTTAGTGATTTTAGAATTTTCTCATAGTCTGCTGGCAAACTTGGTAAATCATCAGGCTTTTCTAATGGTTTATCAATCATTGATTCTTTAATGAACTATAAAAAGTCTCCCATGTTTTTACAACTCTCTCCTGCCTAAGCCAGATCAGCTAGTTTGAGTAAGGTATGCCCTGCATTTCTGTGAACCTGTACTCCTTCTTTTTCGCATATTTTTTGAACTTTTCGGTCTCTATCTAAAGCATACGGCTCAGTATCAAGCTCAAAGTATAAGTTTTCACTATGTTTAGCAAGTTTCTCAAAGATGTCAGAGGGGTTGCCATACAATATTATCAGATTAGAATTATAAGTCTTTAAATTGGCATTAAGGTCACTTAGAGATTCTAGTAAGAATTTGATTCTGTTTGTGCCTGTTTTATCACTTTTTATGAACCATGGATCCAAAATAAAGATAGGCAACAAATTCTTTTGGATAGATGAATCTAATAAGCCCTTATTGTCATGGATTCTTTGACATTTTCTAAACCAATAGATAGTGAACTTTTTCGAGATTGTTTCCATTAATAGGGATGCTTTTTGAATATAGATATATAAAATTTATCCTCCAACTTTTTTTATCACATAATCAACTTGGGGTTTTGGGGTTTTGGGGTTTTGGGGTTTTGGGGTTTTGGGGTTTTGG